GGGGGGGGAGGGGCGTTACTCTAATCACTGAAGTATCGGAAAGAATAGTTGTCTAGAACTGTGTGCACACCACTAACTGGTAGTGATCGGGAAACAGGGGAAATCAACTATCAAAAAAATTCTCAGACCGAAAACGTCCAAATCCCGTGCCCCCCTTCTCCCCGTTGAAATCCCCCTGCTCCTAATACGTTAATGAAGAGAAGGTGCTTATGAGGCAGGTCAAAGGCCATAAAAAAGGAAGTGTACCTGGAACACATTAGACCATGCAGCCATGTAGTACGGGTTTACATGGTACACTCGCCCAGTTTTTGCCCGAATAGCGGAAAAGAAGAGGTCCGATTGTCGTTGGAACATTTCCAAGTCCAATGGCGGCTCGGCTATTTCCTAAACAAAATGATTTATGTAATTAGAGGAAGCTCAACTGTACAACAACGGCCAAGAGCGAATGGTACCTCGGGAGCAGGAGCACCGTGTAATCGCTCGAGCAAAAGCACTTTCACTCGATCGCTCAGCGCATAGTAACGGGATCCGGTCAAATCGACTTTGCTGTTCGGTCGCATCTCACGAAGACACAAAATCAATAATCGATTTAATTTATACCTAAAAATGGTAGGTGGACTTAAATGAGTATAAAACACAAGTGTCCAGCATTACCTATCAGCTATCCATACTTTTTCTAAAAACGGTAAATTATGAGTTACAAGGAAGCACTCGCATCGGTGCAAAAGGCCATCCATCTGAAATAATCATATTACAATTATAAAAGAACAATTAAAATCAAATAAAGGAAACAAATTACAACGACGTTAAAGATATATGTTGAAGGTGAACTGTACACTCGTTTCGTGGGTTTTTGTCCTTGCATGGCGGGGGGGGTGAATAGGTTAGCAAGTGCAGTACCGCACCATTTTCTCAATAGTGCACGACATCCAAGCTTGAGACTAGTGATACCCAGCTTCCGTCTCCCGACTCCGCCCGCGCTGCCGCACGTCCAGCCACATGCTCGAAATCCCTGAGATGCGGTAGGCGTGGCTGCGTACTTCAACTGAACGTGGCGGTGGCTGTGCTTCTGGTGAGATATTTTCATTTTGACACAATTGTGGTCATGTCTCTGTAAAACGCAAATCAACTTGATAGTTGCCTCATTAAAAAAGGATAAAGTCTTCGCCGTTAATCAATCCCTTTGTGGGATGCGGCACGCATTCTACTTCCATTCAGAATCGTAGTGGCTTATTGAATGCGATGTGGCCTATACAATGACTTGCGGGGGCCAGCCGATGTACAAGTCAGTTTTATCCTCCCAGACGAATCTGGTACCAATTTACCGTCCCCCGGAGGGTAGAAGGCTTGGTTGGCCTGGGCGGGAGTCGACCCGGGATTCGAACCCGAGACTGGTAAGCGCGCCACTCCACACGCCACTTGTCGGGACCCGGGCGATTCTATCGTCGGCAAGACAGGTCACGTCGCACACGTCGCGTCGCGGCGTGTCGCGCGGCCACGCGGCGCGGCAATCCCGGCGTTGCATTACCGTACTCCCGAGTTGTCACTGGAGCAAGGGATTAGCGTTGTTTCAAAGGTAACCTCAAGAGTAAGAGTAATAGTCAATAATCATAACAGGAAAGGAAATAGGATAGGAAAGACATAATAGGAAAAAAGATAACCAAAATAGGATGACTCTTTCAAATTGTTAAAGGGATCGTCAACCCTTTAACAATTTGAACGCCGCGCAACAGAACTCGTACGCGGCGGCCGCCACGCCGCCGGCTCCGCCCACGACGACCCACTTATCGTCGACGATAGAATCGCCACACACCCCCACTTGTCACTGCACCACCTCCGCCTCAGTTGTCTCGTTACCGGGTTGGAAATACCCCGCCGTCTCAAGGATAAAGATTGCAATTATATAGCCAAACGCGCTACTTGTCTGCGCTATCCCAATTCGTTCCTTGAGCGTTTGCTGAGCGTGTTTCGCTGCGGGACCTTGGTATTGCACGACGCAGTATTGCACACTGAGCACGACAGGAACAAAGAAACGGCACCCGGGTACCACTACCCTTGTGCCTCATTTCCACCCACTCTCAAGCGGCGAACGTGTTTCACTTGTGAAGCTGTCAACCCATTCTTCTCGCACATGGACAATTTCATTAACGAATGCGGCCGTTTTTAGGGTGCACATTGAAAATGCTCAGCTCATTCCACAGTTTTTGAGCCTTCATGTAATTCACCAAATGCTATTAAAATGGCGCATTCCTTACACACGTTGCATTCCAATGGCTTCAGGATTATCACACCAATGATTAATAATATTCAGAGAATTTGTGGAAAAATTTATGGTTGTCCTCAAATTCAAGCCCATCTTGTTCGCTGCGAATGATGGGCGTGTCAGTGATGCTGGTTTGGCGCTCCGCCTACCCGTTCTCTACCAATTGCTGAAGCTGTGTAAGCGAGAAGAACTGGTGGAAGGTGATGATGCAAACGGTATGACACAGCCTTGTCGCGTGCCGAAAAAACAAAAGAAAAAAGGGCGTTGCGCCAAACCCATCTCCCTGAAGGCGCCATAATCCGCACACTGTATATGAGGGGGTATGCGCAAAGTACTGAAGCTAACACAGTAGGACACTAATTTTGTTGACTCAGCATCAGAAGTGTTTCTCATCTTTTTGAAGAGATTAGAAAATAGAGACAAAAAATACACCGGAGAATGATTAGAAAAAAAAAGAAAATGTAAAATAGAAAAATGTAAAGCAAGAAAACAGAAAAGATTCCAGGTGGCTACAAGGAGTTTTTTTTGCATTTTTGCACTGTCGTTAAATTTTTTTGTGGAAATCACTACTAATTTCTAGCTTAAGTCTTCTAGGAGCATTCAGATTTAGAGCTTATCTTGTGTAAAATACGATGAGGCTCTGCCTTGACCGTTGGCAAAGGGGAATCGTAGTATGCCTCGAAAAAAATCTTCCGATTGTTGGTTTTTCCCGTTTCATGCAGGCTATATAGTCTTTACCATGACTGCAAGCAGGGCACAGCATTGGTTGGGGAATCCCCATAGGGGGGGTCGTATTTGGCCGCCAGGAGAGGGGGGGGGTCGTAATGAGTGCGGTAGCCAGTATCGAGCAGCGCAAAGGTGTCAGTGTGCTGAATCCTGTGTAGCGGAACTTGCTTCGTAGAGAACTCGGATATGTAAAAAATGAGTACAAAACTTTCATCCATCAAACTAATCCGAAATAATTGGAATTATTAATAAGTCGACAACATCTCGTAAGTGATTAAACACTACAACTCATACTCTGGTTTGCTGCGGATGATGGGGCGTGTCCGCGATCACGCTTGGCGCTGAGCCAACCTGTTTTTTTTTTCGACAAAGCGACAGGACTACCATATCGTTCGTATCAGACGTTTTCCAGCAGTTGGTCTCCTTTATCGGAGACAGCAATTGGAGGAGCACAGATCGGGCGGCGTCGACAGACACGCTCCATCATCCACAAGGGAAAACACTGTAAACAAGTGCACAGGTTCGTCATAGACCTCCCTGAATACTATAGACACATTTGCTCGCGTGAACAGACATTACGCACAAGTTGCACCATCCCATCACTTCTGCGCGGCCCTCAGTGCGCGGCGCATCCAAAGTCAGCGTGATCGGCGCTAAACGAACCATATCCTGCTCCTGCTCCACCACAGGATACGTTCTACATGCGTTCCTGGCTATTCGAACACGCTCACTTGAAACGGTGCACAGGAAACGGGTTTTTCGCGCGGCTGGGAGTGCTCCCTAAGAAATCCCCATCGCGAGATCTCATGAATCCCGAGAGCTTCAGGAACAGTTCAATAGGTTTTTAGAAAGAGAAAATCTTGAGAAGCTCGGATCCGTTCTCAGATTTGTGAAATGTTGAGTTACAAAAAAATATATTGATTCAAACCTGTTCAACTTGAACTTCAACCCTTCACTCCCCAACGAATCCCTATGGCAGATTTCTCTGTGATTTTCGCGACCTTCATAAACATTTTAGTACTTTCAGGAAGACCAAACCTTCTAATTTACCAATACGCTCTCCTCTTCCCCACAGGTCCGCTTTTGAGGAAGTTATGGTCCTTCAAAGACACCCTACTTTGCTGAAAATTCTCGCTCCATGGCTAATAGCCGTTTGCTCCAGTCACGGCTGCAATTACGTACGCATCTCTGCTACCGTACTCCACATCTCGGGGTTAATGCATTTTAGGCGTATTTCTTTTTTGTTTTCTTTTTCTGTTATACCGCTTTTTGTTTTTTCGTTTTAAGTCATAGTCTCATTTAACTCGCATTTATGCTGTGTGTATGCTACTCATCGTGTTTTTGATCACAAACGCTTGTACATAAGTAAATCAAGTCAATTTAGGTAGGACTGTTTATATCTATTTTTTATATCTAATTGTTTATATCTAATTTCAGGAAGTATGTAACGTCAAACAGTAAAAAGGGGGGGTCGTACCGAACCCCCAAAAGGGGGGGGGTCGTACAGGCTCGACCAAATCCCCATCGAATGCTTGTGCCCTGGATGCATACGGCCTCACTGTTCTTTTTTCTCATTTTATACATGTGACTATATGCACCCCCCCGGCGTTCCCGCGTCATAACAAAAATTCGAAAGTAGGATAATTTTCAGGTAAAGGAATTCCAGGAAAGTTCTGGAAGTTGGTGGGAAATGAATAGAGAGGCGAGCTCGTATTTTCGTAGCGGTCCTTCGCTCGGCACCTCCATGAGGAAGGACCCAGGGAGGGTCGTATAGACCCCTTAAGAAAAGGGGAGTCGTACCAACCCCCTGGAAGGGGGAGGAGTCGTTCGGACTCGTTCAAAATCCCGACTAATGATGTGCCCTGACCTGCACCTCAAGCTTGTCGGCAATATGGTAAGCAGCGTCATTATTATTCGTTTACTGATTTAGCTCAAAGGCTATCGTTACTCGTTTTGATTTCTCATCGATCCAATTTTTTATTTCAAAAAAGTACAATCGTGATAAAAACAAAATTATTGG